ATGGTTGTGTTGGTAATAATTTGGTAAAATTCCATTTGACAACAATGTTTGCCTGATTAAAACGAAGGTACAAATCAGCAAAAATCGAGTACGCAGTTAAAAATGTTTGACGTATCAAACATTGTCAATGTTTTCAAAACCCTACGTTTAAAATGTTCGTAGTTACTTTTAGGTCTCCTGGTGTTTTATTTTCGGATAAATATACAGGAATCTGGTGTTTTGTTGCTGGATGAACTCGAACAAATCTTTTGAGCTTTTAGTATTTTATTTTTTATGAACTTGAAAAAGTTTTGAGTGGCGCAGTGTTTTTTTCTTTAATTCGGGAGACTCTTAGGTACCCATGGTGTATTATTTTGGGAGCCCATGGAGATTTTTTTGTAAATTATTTGGTGGACATTGGTGTTCTATTTTTGGAAAATTCTGACCTAACCTGTTTTTGAGTTAATTTTGGGACTTCCGGTTTTTTTTGAAAAATTTAAAACATATTCCTATTTGGAAAGAATTTGAAAGTGCTTTGGAGTCTCTAATGTCTTTTCTTAGAATAATTTAATTAAATTTCTTAGAGGATATGTCATTAGCCAAAATCAGTTTTATCTAAGCAGCTACTAGAACCGCCCACCCACCCTCTCTTTTCTTAGAGGGTATGTCATTGCCCAAATCAGTCTTATCTTGGCAGTTACTAGCTCCGCCCACCCACCCTCTCTTTTCTTGGAGGGTCTGTCATTTGCCAAAATCAGTCTTATCTTGGCAGTTACTAGCTCCGCCTACCCACCCTCTCTTTTCTCAAAGGGTATGTCATTTGCCAAAATCTGTTTTATCTTAGCAAGTACTGATGACAAACTTTTACAAAAAATTATCAAAATTTGGAAACATTACGAGTTTACTTATATGCACAATGCAGGAATACCCAGGAGGATCACACTCTATTGAGGTCCTAGCCATTTATACAACAACATTCTAGTAATCTATTCAAATCATCTTGTGTGCAGCCATCATCTGGCTCAAAGCAGTTAAAATTTCTTATCTCGTCCGTAAATAGTAAAAACTTTGAATTGCCTATTTAATGTCGCTTACATAAGTAAGGAAAACCAGTGGACTCAGGTGGGACCCCTGAGGAACTCCAAACGTATCTTCGTAATAGCTAGAACAAAATCCATTGACTTTTCTAGCTTCTTTACGCTTTTTATTATTTAAACCAGGATAGAAGAGAATCTGAAACACCCACTTTTTCTAATTTCAATATTAATATATTGTGGTTGACCCTATTAAAAGCTTTAAGAAATAAATAAATTTGACATTGCTGATAGGTTCTCAACAAACCCATGTTGTTTCTCAATTACCATAAAATTCATATTATTTATATTAATTATCAATTTATACAAAATCTTAAACAGTATGCAACAAAATGGAAAGTTTTTATTTTCACTGGAACAACGTGGTATTTTTGACCATGGATGCTGTCAAAAAATGTTAAGTACGTCAAGTGACCAATTTTGTTAAAATGCCTAGATATTTTACTGAAATTTTAAATACAATTTGAGAAAATACTTAGAAATACCACATTGAGGGGTCTAATATCAAAGTATACAATCTTCACTTTAGGCAATTTGAATAATATTTAATAAAAACGGATAGACAATTTTTGATTTTGATTGAGCAATAAGTCATCAGGGACGAAGGTTTGTACATAATAAAATTGAACATAATTAGGTAATACATATATTACCAAAATCTTTATTGAACTAAACAAACAAACACAAACAAAAATAAACCAAAGTGAATGCATTAAATGATGCTTTTTCATCTCGTTCTGCTGTTACCCTTTCATCCAAAATCCAAAATGCCTGTAAAATTTCAAATCCTCTTCGTTCCGTCATTCCACTCCATATACTTACTCGTAAGTAAATTATTAACGTCGTTATCTTTCGTTTCATTTATGAAATTTTGTTTTGATTTTCTTGCTGGCTTCATATTCTTAATAAATTTTCATTTTCTGTTGGGTGTGATTGCCTCTCCTAAGTGGCTTTTATGTGTCGCTTCTTCTCGAACTAAAATCTTATTCATGTTGATAGTGCCTCTGCGATTATTATACGTTTGGATTTAGCAAACGGAAATCTTAAGATACTTTTTAAAAATTTCTAGATATCTACTAGTCTGAAGAATTAGTTGACAGAACAAATTCGGCCGAAAAGTAGAGCGTCACTTGACATAGTTTTGATTTTAAAGAATTATAAAATTTTAATGAATTTAGCACGTAGGTAATTCACTTTGTTCTTAATAACATGCGTTATTGTGAAGAATTCGAAATTTCACAACATACTAACCTGAATATGGGTTGTCTGGCTGAACTTAAAAAGCTAGGTTATGTTATGTCAACAAGAATTAAACCCTCGTTAGATTTAAAATGGTTTGTTTATGATCCACAAATTGACTCGGAGTTTCATATTTTCAAATATTGGAGTAAAAACTTTCGGTGAAACACTTTCACACTCTTGTATGATTCTCACTTTTAGATTTTCAATTATATCCACTGATTGTTTAAAAATAGCTGGTCAATAAATTCCTGCCGCATGTTCTGATATCTCGCAGTTGTAACTGAGTCCTCAAGGGCCCAAACAATCGTCTTAAAAAATAGCACACCGAAATCCAATTTTCTTTTATGCAAAGGTTAAGAGTCTCAGGAGTTCGTTTTGTTAGTGTGGATCTTCCTGATTTTCTCTCCTCAGATAAAAATGTAGACTTTGAAATGAATGAGTTTTTTCGAAAATTGGAAAAACAATACCTAAACGAAACGTGTTTGCGAAAACAAAGAACAATTTATGTTGTTAAGAACCGAAATTATAGACAAGCCACCACAGCACAAATTATATGTTCTAAGACATTATCTACGTAATTTGGTGACATAATAGGAAGCGAAAACTAGATCACAAATCAAAATAATCACACGGTATAAGGTAAATCAAAATACGTTAATCAGTAGGGTAAATGTGTACAAGAGTGCGCATATGTATAAGAGTACGCACTGATGATTTCTGCTTATTAGTGCCATCTGGGTAAGATGAAGTTATACCATTCACAATCAAATGCTAAACTTGAGATAAAGGTGCAACAGTGACCTGTATATAGTTTATAGTTTGATCGTACTGACGATTTTATGTTTACGCGTTGTGTGGATGTAATTTTTACAGCTCATAGTTTTAGTTTTTTGTAAGGTACGTACCAGTTCTTTTATTTTACAGTAATAATGTTCATTAGCTGTAACTTTTAAGGTGTCGTTATACACTAGCAGTTTTATACTTTCTATACATCAAAAGCTTTTAACTTTGAAAACATTAGGTTATGTACAAATGTACAAGAGTGCGCAATACTTGCGATACGTAGTCTTATAGATACATATGATATCTACTATAATGAATTATTTAACTCTACTACTTTGTACTGCTTCTCAAGTTGTGTGGTGGTGGTTATGGTGATGTTTGTTTTTTAATTTTTACTTCCTGAGCGTAAGCGAATGAAGTATTGTGATCGAGTCCGTCGACCGACTCTCTACTTTTACGTTTTCTCGAATTTCAAGACCCGTAGAGTACGAAGAAATATGGATCCCGTTGTATGTGTAGTCTGTAGTCACTTGTCCCTATTTATTTTCACCTTAGAAATAAAGATTTTTTTCATAAAATGTAATGCGCACTCATAAGCGTTCAAGTGCGCACTCTTGTGCAGTGGACTGTCTAAGAGTGCGGATTTACACATCTTGACAAAAATTGAAATTACTCTTAAAATATAGTGGTCTTGGGACATACAATTAAATATATCTGATCTCTAAACATGTATATGACGAACCCATGTCATAAAATTTGTCTATCCAAAATAATTAAAAAGTTATTGACAGTTTTACACTAAGTGCGTACTCTTGTACACATTTACCCTATCTATTAAATGGCATGAGCGGTCCAATTAAAATAAGTATCATTGTGAAATTCACATATACAAAATAACAAGGTATAATATTATTTACAAAAATTTTGCACTTTCTTCCAAGTGGTGATCAACAAACAACGTCCTCAAGTTGGCATTAGAGGAACAAGCTGTCTTTCTGTTCCCTCGTTTTACGTAGAAGACGCACGTTTTTTATTGTTTCATAACAAGCAATAGCAAAATGTTTGTACGTTCTGTATATAATTTTATTGTTATCTTTAAAAAAGTTGTAAAACATAAAAATCCGAAACTAATAAATCAAGGTGACAATACGAATTAACAAGCCAACGGGGACGGGATTTCACATTTTTGAATAACTAATATTTTTATTCGCTTTTAATCTATTAATAAGAAGACTTTTACGCAGAATTAAAAACAATGGCGTTTACAAATTTTGATATCTCTATTCTTTCTCGAGATATAAAGATTTCAAAACTATTATTGTCTAATTTTATCGGAGCTGTATTAGAAATAAAAACGGTATGTACTAAGGACAAATTTTTGATATCAAAAGAAACTCTGAGACACTGCATATTCGTATAACCAACACAAGTTGTTTTGTATCCATTTCTTGATAAATAACAGTTTAACTTTTTTTTTTAAAAAACATCGCTCTACTAAAACGACTCTATCGCTTTTATAATATTACTTAATTGGAAACTTATCAGCCATAAAAGCTTGAAGACAAGCATTTCTAATTCCATTAGAAGCACCTGGTATTAAATAATCAGGACTCATTTGCACATTAACTTTTGCTGCGCCATCCACTTTGATTAAAAGATATACTGTAAATGTAGATTTGGTCCATCAAAACATAGCACTGGATCTGACGTATACATGAAGATCAAAGTCTGTACCTCCCACAAACATTAGCACCATTCTAGGAGATAAATACTCCAAAATATTAAATTTCCTAGCTTTGTTTCGTTGCTAAATTTCATTTTTGATTGATTTAGTGCTTTAAACCTTCATGTGAATGTTTCTTATCTTTTTTAAACACAGGCACTTTTTAACTGTCACGCTAAAAAATTATTAATTTGTGTGACCACACTTCAGTTGATTCCATTTTTCATAATGGAAGTTGTGTTTTCAAACATTAGTTGTAAGTAAGTGAGAAATTTGTGATAATTTGCAGTTATAACAAACAATTTTGGTGCTGACTTACACAGTGGTCGCTCTTAATGTTATAAACCACGATTTTTGACGGCAAACTTGAAATATGGGTATGTTAACTAGTTTCCGTAAGGAGATATTAATTAAAATCTGACATTACTGTAATCTAACAACAGATCTTAAATAATAAATACTGACCATCTACTTATATTACAGACGGCAAGCAAATTAAAACACTAACCGTTAAATGGTATTCGAAGAAAAATATTAAAAATAACATGATATGTTTTATTAATAATGAGCTAAACATAAATTCGGGGATTATAAATAATTTATCTCTCAATTTGTCATAATAATTTTGACGTAACGTGGACTTTGTCCAACAGTCTGTTTTAATGTTGTACTAAAAGTTGTGCACATTTTTAGATTAAAAAAATTAAAACTATCAAATTAATAATTGATTCTTTTAAAACGTAAAACAAATATTATCAGATTTATTCTTACAGTTCCAGTATCCTAAGATGTTGACATATATTTAAAAAAAAATGGTATCCAAGAACACGAATGCATACATGCATAATGCGTTATAAATATGCATGTGATAGTTTGCAAATATGCAGCATAAAATATCAATAAAAACCACTACAAAGTTGCCTTTTTGCATAAATTATTCGAATAAGTTTAACAAATGAAGTTTTTCATTTGATATTTATTATTTTAATACCTTCCTAATTAAAAACGACAAACATTATAACACTGGAAACATTCATGTAAATATCACCTTGAATCGTCTCAGACTCAAACTTTATCTTTCTTTCTTAAACACCTTTGCGCCGTAGGATGGCCATTTCCCATAATGATAAGTCCAAGTTTTAAATAGATAACAACCGCTACTAAATAACTAAAGACCTAATGTGTGGAACTTATTGTATTATGCTGTATTATGTAAATACGTGAGATATCCCACTTAACACAAAAGGTATTCACAAGAACTAAATACAGCTGATAGAAAACTTATCATCTGAAAAACACCCATAATCACTAAATAATACAAGAAATCACTTGTTGATATGTAACTATCCCACGAACATCCTGTACACATGTTTTGATTAACATAATTCTATAAATTTAACGGAAAACACCAGAAATAAGAGAAATCCTAAATTGCATACAGCTGTTTATCTAATTGCTGATGTCAGTTAGACATATATGTGTATCTTGTGTTATGGACACCGGAGAGGCGTTGTTCTGTTTCTGGAGTTCCTCCATATCAGACATCAAAACACAACACGTTTGACGTTAAAGATGGATTGCGTTAGAATTTTCGTCATAAAAATGTAGTAAGTCATTAAAGTTGCTAATTTCCATAACGGTTTTCACAGTCAGCGTTAATTTGCACCTAGTGGAAATTACCACCAGAGAAACAAGTAATGAGGACAATGAAAATCCGTTAGAAAAATGGAAATTTATTACACTTGCTTTAATGTTCTTTGAATAAGTTTCTTCCCATAGCAGTAATCAAGGCGATTCATCTAAAAATGACATTGTTGCAAAATAATTATAAATCTACATACCGGGATTCCAGATCCTCAATATTTTTAAACTGATAAAATCTAAAGATTGCTTTATTATGACCTGAGTAGCTGGTCTATTGTTTAGGCGATTTGTCTAAAAAGTAATAAATTATTAGGGAGCTCAGAATATACATATAAGTTTCATATTGTAAAGAATGTTGAATGGTCTTTTGAAAGAATTCGGATTTCAGTGAGTGTAATGACACAACTTCAAATTAGAAGCGCGTGGAAAATTCTGAGTATTTGGAGTACACAAATAAACACTTGCTAAAATTAAGCTGATTTAATGCAAAGGAATAAACTCAGGTTGTGTTTTCGCTGAACTACATCCGAAGACTAATGTCGTTTTTTAATTTTGGGCAATAAAAAAGCGGTAAAGGTGCATATGAATGTTTCACGAGCTGGCAGCATAAAGGTGCCGTTCCATTCCAGGCGACATTTTACCGTAATTTATGGTCCGATCTGAGAGTCATCAAATTTCCGAATGGTAATAGTAATGGCCGAACAATTAGGAACGATGGTAAATCGTCCCATTTACATATCGTTTTTATTCGTTTGAATAAATCAAATGGGCAATTAATCGTGTTCCCAATATAAATTAGTACAACATGGCCGTAGAGATACCTTTGTGATAATGCGTCTAGGAAACGAATAAATACATGTTGCAGCCGCTTCACCTGCTCTTTAACAAATTAATTTATAGAATTGATGCGAGATCAGATCGAACGGACCATCTCATGTATATTTATTGCTTTTGTGAGGCATACGTTTCGGTTTGGACATTTTATTTCCGATCCAATGATTCCCCGACAGCCTGAGAAATTGATGTTAGTTATATGCAAGCCGCGATACTGTTCTGCTCTTTCGATATACCACTCGAAAAACCCTTCGGAAACACACAGAGAAAGATCTCATGGACCATTCCGACCATATACACAAAACTTAGACCGTGTTTTCCAGATAATAAAAATCTATGTTTTATGCATGTAAACAAATATCCCGATAGATACGTTTTTGCTTTTCTTTTCTTGTTGCGGGTCGAGCCGAGCCAACGTATCACCTATTCTACTATCTCCTGTTGTTCCGGCTTTAACGAGACCATAGGCGTATCTATGCTTTCCGATCGTTGCAGAAGGAAAAACAAATAAAATTACCATTATAGCTACAATTAGCACGCGAAAAAAGACAACATTTATTCAAAAATATTTTATTGTTTGTGGAAATTTTTCTTCTGCTTGAACTTATATTTAGTCTGACGGTTCTATTTTTGTAAAATATATATTTGACATGTTATTACTAAAGAATTTACGATAAACGTGACGTTATTTTTTCACGTAAAGTTTACAAGATTCCCACACAAAACATACTTTTACGAAAAATATAACAAAAACTGTTCGTTGGAAGAGAAATATTCATACATTACATAACTTTCTTACTTAAAAGTCACGGGACTAATTTAAAGAACTGTATTATGTTAGTTTTTCCGATATTTTGAAAGTTGTACAGTTTATGCAATTTGTTATATTGTCTAGTTTAAAATTAATTACCAAATTACAAATCTATAACTGTTTGAGAGATTTTAGAGGGAAGGAATTTTAAACTTTCAAAAGAAACATGAAAATTATTGTTCGAAGAAATGTGATTTAAGGATTCATTTTCATTAATTCTTACAAATGTTTTACCACGAAAATTGACAACCGTTTTGTAATAATTTTAAGCAAAAAAATAATTTCATCATGGATCTGCCTGCAAATTTTCATACACATATTAGATAATCGCATTAGTAAAACAATAATTAAAAAAAATAGATATGGTAATTAAAGTAGTCTTCATTTCCGTTAAAAATGGAAGTAATAAATCAGATTTTTGTGTTTCCTCTACTATGTACATATAATTAATTTCCTAAGAATACAATAGTTTTAAATAAAGTAATTTAATAGTTTTGGGTTTACACACAAGCAGTAGGTACTTTTACCCTTTTAACAAACCTGTCTAGGGTTAAATTGCTTTTATTCATAAAACCATTTTTTTATTTTCTTTCCATGCTTTTACTCGAACATTCAGTTACAATGGAATGATTATACTTATATTATTTAATTAATTTTTTTTTTTAAATAATCAACTTGTATTAACGTTTAGTCAAAAAATATTTTAGTGAGGCTTTTTTCTGAAATTGAAGACTCTGGTCTTAAAAATTTTAAAACAAGTCCACTTTTCCGAGTTTTTATTTTTATTTTGAAAGAATAAGGTGTTAGATATACAGGGTGAGTCACTAAGCGCGCTCCTCTCGATATTTCATTAACAGTAATTAGAAACAGAAGAAAATTCGTCCAAGGCTATTTCGATTGAACTTCCCTCGCCCTTGAAGTTTAAAAATTTACGTTACAAAATTTGATTTTACGATTTTCGTTAAAAAAACCGCTGTAAAGTAAAAACCAGCGGCATAAATAACACCCCCGCAGCCCCTACACCGAACGGAGAATGTAAAATATATGTATTTAAAGCACTTAACGAAAGGGATAAAATGTCCTTCAGCACTAGGTAACAGCAATCTGAAGCTCAAGTGTTATTCATGTTTATACATCGGAAGAATGTCAGGTGGAAATTAGTTTGATTTGGATGAGTTTGCCTTCTCAGAACAGAGGACTGAAATGATTAATTAAAACACAATCGAACAAAATGTTCTGAATATTATAATTTTTATTTTATTATTATTATATAAAGATGTGCGTATTTTCACATTTTCAAGAAAATGGCGTGGTTCGTTCTTAATTTGACCAATACAAAAATTGTATGACGTCATAAACATAGATAATATACAATGCGAGAGAAAAAGAGAAAAAAAGTAAAAACCGAAAGATCACGCTTGTTGTATAACAGTTAAATAAAATAAACATTGAAATGACGTCATCAAATTGTTGATGGGGATGATTAGCAAAATTTTGGTTAGCATTTGATCATCTATATAATATTTCAAATGTACATATAAAATTTGACAACAATTGGTCCAGTAGTTTCAGAGATTACGTGTGTAATAAAAATACAGACACCAGACAGACAGACGGAAACAGGAGACTAGTTTTCTCGTGCTATAGGGGTCAGTCTTAGCTTACGCTCGGGAAGTTAAAAATTCTGAGAATAAAGTTGTACAGTTTTCAAAGAGCATATATTAAAATTATTTTCAGCTATACAGAGTATTTTGTTTTTAAGACGTAACACAAAACTTAGTTTTTTCAAATAGAATTCCCTGCATATTTTCATACATTCTTAATGACCTCTTTTTAGGATCTAGGTATAACCGTTATTCCAATTTTCTCGAAATTTTTTACAAATAGACGGGCCCAAGAATAAATCGCAATATGGTTATTTTCAAAATGTGGGTTACAATATTTTGTGAAGAAATAAATAAACATACGCGCCTTATTGTGATCTAATTAAAATTGGGTTTTAGTATACAGAGTGCTTATAAAAAAGAAATTACAACAATTTTCAAACATCAATATTTATTATTTTTATTACTGCATCTTATTCTGTTT